AAGTTGGCCCTCCTTTAATTCACCTCCCTCTCTGTACTTGTGCATCCCATGCAGCCGTTTGCTTAGGAACTGCCACAAGCATAGCCAGGTTGGGAGCTTGCTCTAGGCAGAAGTACCCAGGTCTCTTCTGGGAAATGAGACACAAAAGTTAGCTGGACAAAAGGAACACCAGTGAAAGTCACAGTGAAACTGGCAGCCACGCTGAAAACCTCTAAAAGCTTTTTAAAGTCATTTTATATGGTATTATCCTGATGCGCTCTATTGTGTCTGCAAAGTTACCAGCCAGCATGTTTTACTCCCTACCAGATAAGATCTTCTCTGATTTTCTGCCAGAATCAGAATGTTCTTTCAACATAACTTCAGCCGACAGGAGAATATATTTTCCTTCTCAAAGTTCCTGCTACAGTTTTACAACCAAAAAGCAAGCAGACATAGCAGACACTTTCCTTTAGAAGTGTGTGGCACACTGAGTCAGTAAGTTTGATGAACTCATTAAAAAATATTGCAAATGCTATATCTCCATAAATACATTTATGTTTATTAATCACTGCTCATAATTATTCTTGGTGAGGTTTCGGCTTTTTTCATCCCTCATATATGAGTTCATACAATATATGACAAAAGAAGTCTACAACAGATTACATGCTTGGACCAATGTGATAAACAAAACAAGATTAAAGCACATTACCGCAGAAGTATGCTGGTTGTCAACTTTTCACCGTGAGCTTTAAATAAATAAATAAATACATAAATGCTGTTAATATTTTACAGAATCTTTAAACCAATCTTTATTTCTCCTTGAGAAGTACCTACTTTAATAATCTATTTTTTCTGTTTGGTGTGGGAAGCTTCTTCAGACTTAAAGGAAGAATGTGATTTTCATTTCTTCCTCAAATACCTACTGCTATAAAAACATGCCTTCTGAATTAAAGTGAGGCTATGACCTTTTCCCAAATGCAGATGGGAGTGTTAGGCATTTAAACTAGCAGTGAGGCAATGAGAAAGGGAGTCACTAGAAGCCAAAACTATACCTCACCCACTGCAACACATGCCAGGATCAAAGATTCAGTCCCATGTCCCATTACCATACTATGGAAGGAGTCCACCAAGAACAGCAACTCTCCCTCCCATGCAGTTTGTGTACAAAACCTTTGCTGCTGCACAACTGAAATGCAAGGTACCTTGGTCATATATAATGGTTGTTCTTCATAAGTCAAAGGATGAATTTCTTCAAGTTCTTTCCTGAACTGTGACAAATCTTTTGCCCCCTGATGCATTATTATTTTTATTCTTCAACTGGTAGATGAATAAGCAACTTGACATGAGTTTACAAAAAACAAATACAGGAAAAAGTTAGTGTCTCTCTAAAAATTAAAAAAATATATATATATAATCCTGATGGAAGCACATGTTCAAACATACCTCTGAGCCAGAGACAGATACCTATCAGAGAGAGAAGTTTCCATGGCTTCCACAAGCACAGAACTGATTTACATCAAAGGACTGACTTCATTGATGACCTCCAGATAAAAAGGGAATGTCTCTGCTCAGTGATAGTGTGATGAAAACATTTTCATAGAAAATTGGTGAGAATACGGACTGTCCATATCACTTCCTGGGGAAAAAAAAAGTTGAACCTCACTTCGTAAAACTCTCCCAGTAGTGCCAAAAAAAAAATAATTTTTTCTTGATCTAAAAACATGCGGGAACCAACCTGATTTCCTTTGGAATGACAAGACTGGCAGCAGTTGCTACTTTTCTCTGCATAAAAACATACAGAATCACTACTTTGAGTAGCAGGAGATAAGTTTCATGATTTCTCAAAGGTTACCTTTGCCTATGCTAATCACCTATTTCAAGCACTTTTGTTCACAGTCTGTCACAAGGTAGACTGTAGGAACTATTAGAAATATCTGCATCTCATGGCTGGGGCACGCTGCATCCCTACTGCAAGAGGGGCATTCTGCATCCATGACACCACACAATCACAGAGTTCACAACTTCCTCCTAACTCTTCAACCCTGACATCAGTCCAACACACGGTTGGCATTTACAAATGGCAACCTGCCCTAAAAGAAGCATTTAAGCTATTACTAGTTTACCATGCTGTATTAATGAAATTGGACTGTACATTTGATCCACCTGTTCGTAATTTTAAACATCTAATTTCTACTGAACAAATTCTAAAATTTACATTTTTCTGGAATCACACTAAATTGGCAGTCCAGTTGTTTCAAACTGCTCCCCCCTTTAATAAGGTATTATCTCTGTTTAAAATCAAAGTAACTATCATTAAAACAAAAACTACAAGCTATGCTGTTTTGAAATAAGGTCATCTTGCTCCTTCATTCTCCCTTGCATAGATGCCATACAGAATGCTCAGATATATAGCTCATTTTAGTCTTAAACAATACAAAGTTAATTTGTTTCAGTAGCAACTCCTGAGACAGTAGAGTAACAAACGTATCTTTTCTTCCCTTCTGCACTTTCTGTTTCTTTCTTTCCCTCCGGAAACTTCTATCTATGCTACTATCAATTGAACAAGTTAATGACAGTATTCATAATTAAATCCACTAGAAGGAATTTGGCATTAATCTGAGACAAATAATTTGAACTTACAGGCGCCAGCTTGTTCACAAAGAGCAGCTAAGGTTGTGCACATTGGTTATTTTTGCATTTAGAAGCACATAGACCCTAAGATTTGACCTCATTTTCTTTCAAAGCAAGCAGCAAATGACATATTTTAGCATGGAATTCACAGTCCTGCATGAGCTTCTCATATAAAACAGTAAAGAGCAGACTGTTGAACTGCCGCTGTTAATAACATTTCTGTCAATATTGAACTTACAAAATAAATATTGTGAAAAGTATTTAATTTTACTATGTTAGTGCTCCAAGCGAGAGAAGAACCAAAATCAATGTACATGATATTTGTACTAAAGAACTAAGCTTGGAACTTCAGGTTGGCAAAAGTGAGGAAACCTAAAAAAAGAGCAATGAATACACAGGAATTGCATGAAGTTTCTCAAATAAAATTTAAAAAGATTGCAAAATGAGGTTCACTTCCTTCACTATATTTTTTTGTGTTCAAGTGAGCAGTAAAGAATCCTAACATCTCAGTAACTTATGGAAACTGCTTCTGTAACAGACAAATTCATTTCAACTTCGTAAAATGAATTTAATTCACTTTAAGGTGAATTCACTTTGAGCACTATGTATTCTTTTTTTTTTTCCCCTTTGAAAGACGGGGCTTTTCAATGAAATTATACCAGGTATTAATGTTATGCAGTGTATATTAAGAAAGGGGATTACAAAGTATTAGTGGATTCCAAGAACCTACCCAAACAGGATGGTACTACGTCAGCATGAAAACTAAAATATTATTGTTAAGAAAAGTAATAGCTCTTATGGCAGCCTTCTGCCACAGCACAGAATTTCCTTTCTATAATCTTCCAAATTCTGTTAGTTTTGTATCCCTGTAAATCTACCACCCTTCCTTTAGCAACTATCAAAATTGCCTTTCAGAGAACATTCCTGCACTAGAAGTTAAAGATTAGGATAAGCAAAATGGAGGTTTCCTGCCCTGACTTTGTCACAGTTTTCCTGCATGACTCCATAGAAAGCCATTAACATACCTGTTCCCCGTAACCCCTTCCAAAAATTCAACACCCACATGCTGCACACCGTGGGCAGGGCTATATTAATTTCTGCCAAGTACACAAAACTTATGGGTTGTTAGACAACCACAAAACATTACTTTGCTACTTAAATAAAAGCATGCCAACATCATCAGCTAACTATTTCATAATAGCGTTTGATAAACCCTCCTATATGCACAGGCAAAAAGATCCTAGAGCAACCTGGCACCTCCCAGAAGGAGCACATAGTAGCAACGCAGCAGCACCTACCAGAACAAATAAACCAGGTAGGAGTATTTTCCACTCCACTCACTCCTTGTTGGCATCTAGCTTGTAGAAACTGGAAATGCACACGGCTGTTAATGTGATTAACAGCAGCCACATCTAGCAAAGAGTCAGCCCCTGTGCCTGCTACATACTTCAGTTTCCATGAGTCATCTCCAACTTTCCACTGCAACACAAGTCCTCCTGAGCAACATACAGTTAACAATACCTTGCACATGTTCACAGCAGAAATGAAGACAGATTGACCCTGAAAGAATTCACCAAGCAATGTCACTACCCTAAAAGTGAAATTGTTAATCAGAAGTACTCGGTGCTTTCTGAATACATGCTATCAGAAGAAGGTGAAATGCCACAAGTGCTACGCCCAGCAACATGACTTCGAACAGATTTCTTTCCCAATCCTAAATCTCACAATTAGTGAGCACACAGGCAAAAAAAACACACCAACTAAGAACATGATTTTTTTGTTTTGTTTAAGTAACACTAGTAACATAATCTCCCCTTGCCAAAGTCACAGCTTTGGCTGTTTCTATGGAGAGCATTTCATAGAAAGGTACAAACCACAAAGAAAATAACTGCACAACAGGTGGGAGAGTCTCTTCCTGACCTGGTAAGTTTCCAGTGAAAACCTCAAAGCATAAGATTAAAGAAAAGCCCAAAATCACAGAATCACAGAATGGTTTGGGTTGGAAACGGTACTTTTTTTTTCCACCCCAGTCTTCTCTCAAAAGAGAGGCAGCTTTGAGATATTTTCAAGCAATTGCCCTTGTATCAGCAGAATATAAGGTTACATTGTCACAACCCAAGGTTTACCTATCTCATTTCCTTCCTACATCCTTCAATTCTTCTTCTAGACATAGTTAAGCAGAATTTATCATCCAAAAAGGAGATGGAAATGCTTCCTCTATACCAGCAATGCTACAGTCCTCTCCCCTTTTATATGCATGTGGTGATTCTTCATAGTAAGAAGCTTCTTTCACCATATCCCCTATAAGCTGAAAAAGACTCTGCATCAATTTAACTTCTACTTCCCTATTCAAAGAGGACCATGCATCCAAAATATAAGGAGTGACTTACAGTGAATGGGCAGTCTCTCAGTGCTGACTGTGAAGAATCCAAATCTTCTCTCCCTTTTAGAGCACTGGAAGTCTGAGCAATTCCATCAGGCAAAACCTGGCATGCTCACATGAGTCTGCTGCTGGATCTGAAAACAAACAAACAAAAACACATCAGATGAACAATAAAACTTATCCTTCCATACCTGGGAAGCATGAGAGAGGTACAAAAATATGATCTACAAATATCTGGAAATTTTTGTTGCTGTCATTAACTAAAATCTTCCCATAAAATAAAGCATCCATGACTACCTCTTCCTCTCTTGAAGGGTATATATGTACATATATATTAGAAGTTCAGGTTAGCAAAATTCTCCTATGTAACAAAGCAACTACATTTTAGGCTACTAACACAATAACACAATGATACATTTAGTAACATAAATCTTTCTTGCCCAAAGGATCCAGGATTCTGCACAATAGGTGTAACTCTACTTACAGGGTAGGGAAACCTCTCACACATCTTGTCAACATAAAAAAAAAAAAGAAAGAGTTCTGCAGGGGAAGAGGTACCAAGGGGTACTACCGTCTTTGACAAACTCTTACCATTATTCAGCTGTTGCTTTATAGCCACCAACATGCAGTTTTAACATTTATTCAAACACATTGTTTTCTAAAGACAATCCAACTTTGCAGTTTTAGCAGCCTGTACAATATTTCTGGACAATCGGAACACCACCAATTTGAGCTAAAAAGGATTGATATTTTCACTTATTTCTATACTTGTAGACTGTATGATTCTATGATTATTAAATTTAAATTTCTGTTGAACCAAGCCAGTTCCTATATCTATGATAATCTTCCCAGAACTCTACAATCAGCACAAGGCAAAACAGTATCTGGGTACCAGAAATCATTCGCTGTTTATAAAAGCTGGCCCATCATTAAGCTTCTCCCAGTGCTCTGAGGCTTTCCTGATCTTTCTTCAGGATCAACATGAAAGAAGAGAATTCATCAAATTATATGTACACTTGATTCAAAATTTATCTGCTATGTAGATCTGAAAAAAAAAAATAAAAATAATAATATATAGATCACATATATATATATATAGTTTTAGCCGTTATAACTTTCTTTCTTAGTCATTATTTCTACATGCTGTGAATAAACTACCATACAGCTTCTTTTCAGTAGCACAACTACATTACTTTACATTTGTTTAGTTATTGGCATTACTGCCCTTATTAAGTGTTATTCTTAAAATGTTGGCATGCTTCCCAGGGAATAAAAAAAAATAAAAATAAAAATCCTTTCCCTGTTTTCAACCTGCTGAGTTTTGAGTAATACTTTTGCCTTCTCTTACCAATTGTCTGTATTTAATAACTCCTAATTTCATGTTTATACTTAATTCCTTGTTTCTTCTATTTGTTACATTCCTGAAAATGCCACCGCCCCCAGCTGGTTTGGGATCTAAACATCTGTGATCTAATTTTAGGATTTGATCTTTTAACATATGAGCTTCTGTATTTTAATACTAATCAAGATGTTAAAGTTGCAAATAAAAAAACCTTGATGTGTTAACTTTAGATTAGAATAAAATATCAGAGTTCTTTCATTTGTTCTGCCTTTTAAGTTTAGGGACCTAAAATAGGTACTAATGCAACAGCCCATTGACATTTTTAGCCTGTAGGAGCCTGTAGTGGGCAGAGGCAGCTGAAATAATAACATATTTGAATGATGAACCAGCTTTACAATTTTATTAGTCAGACTTTTCCAAATCTATGGCTGGCATTTTTCCCAGTATCTCAAAAATTAAGCTGTTCTACATTTAAAACTTCCAACTAATCACGCATTAAAAACTTCTCCTGGTTAAGGCAACAGAATAACCTTATGATAAGCTTCTAATAATAAATAAAAAATAAAAAAAAACAAACAAACAAGCAAATATCTAACTTTGAAAAATAGTGCCTTTAATTCTTTGTGTTGTTTGTATGAAGAAAGTAACAGAGAGAGGGGAAAAAAGTAATCTGATATTGGTTAGTTTGAGAAAGCTACATTATTTATCAAGAATATATTACGTATCACACTCAAATAGCAAGTACCCTATAGGAAGGTGACACTTTAGTTGCCCCATAGGACCAATGGATGTTCTTCCAATCTTTCCATATTTTTGCTATGTAATAAATCCTCCTCCCCCAGAAAGATTTTTTTCCTGCAACTTGCTAGTCCTAAAAGAGTAGCTTGTAGGGAGCATGCACCCATGTTCCCTACTGCTCCCCAGCCTCTTTGTGCTACAGTGATCTAATAAAATAACAGGCAGAGGGATGCACTGGCAGACCCTGGGACATGACCAGCATAGGCACAGTTCCAGGGTTTTGGTGGTAAGGCTATTCTCACTTTAATAAAAGAACAAAAACCAGAAAACAAAAAACAAAACAAAACAACAACAAAAACACAGAACAAAGCCCTCATGAGAAATTAAAAGCACAAGCAATTTTTTCCCTTTATTTATTTATATTTTTTTTTTAGGCAAAAAGCAGAATACACCACAAAATAAATCTCTCTGCTCTCAGGAAATACGGATCAGATTCTAAATCTGAAAGACAAAAACAGGAGCTATATAGATAACAGTATGACCAAAGAGCTGAACACAGCTCATGAACGTTTGTCCTTTTCACAACTTCCCTATAAAATAGGCCAACAGGTAGAAATCTATTTTTTACAAAAAAAAAAAAAAAAATCTTTCTGAATATTCTGCAAGGCAGGTAAGCACACTCCTAAAATAATCTGGGAAATCTTGACCAGATTAACTGCAACACTTGACAGCCTGTTGATTGATCTACAGTTTTCTTCTTTTTTTTTTTTTTTGTACTTCTGAAAGAAAATATAAGCTGTATTTGTGCAGACACAAGATGTAGAACTTCTCGCTGTCGTATTCACAGACATTAGGAAAACTACAGTGTGATAGAGTGGAATAGAACAACAAATGGAACAACAAACTTCACTCTCAGTGGGTGACTACAGCTCATGTGAGCATCATAGAGGGCTGCTCACTTAAAGCAGAACAGAGGAAATTAATTATCTGGTACCCTAGGAAAAAAAATAAAAAAGCAATACTTGACCTTTTCACAACTCCACAATTCATTAAGCTGTTTTGCACTGTACCAGTCCTAAAGAAGAGACATATTTCTAAGTGGTTCTGGAAGAGCTGCAACAAGCTAAGAGCTGAACTGGCAACAAGATGTGGATGGGTACAAGTCTGCAGCAGGCAGAACCAGGCCCTTCAGGAGTAACCAAGCAATTCTCTCCCTTCTCCAAGCTCACCATTTGTTTCTGCTGCAACTCCTAGCAAAACCAGTAGCAACACGACCAGAGCGTGGAATGAGATTGGGAAATTAGTCCAGCTCATAACTCAAGCAGGAAAAAAGCCAGACTTTTAGCCGCACTGTTAGCTGAACCAGTTCGCTGTGCGAATGTTTGTGCCAAAATTTAGGCAATAAAAAGAACAAACCAAGCAGCTGCAGACAGGACCCATAGAGCACAACTACCCCTTTTTTGGAAGCAGTGCAGAATTATGTTGATTTGCACTGAAATTGGAGCTAGGAACAAAGCACCAGTAAGAAAGCAAGCATCTTGCCAGGGTTGTTCTGCAATAGACATGCCTTCTAAAATTCAGTTTGATGCATGCGAGCAAAACCTGTCAGTAATGCCAAGCCTGACTGAAACCAAACATTAAAATCTTACAGTTTGCATGATGGATAAGCTAGTTACAAATGTCATCATGTAGTGCTAGCTTTAATTGCTCTCAGCTAAATATAACTTTCAGAATCTAATAGCTCCCTGCAGCTTTTCTGTCTTTCAAGAAGAGAAAAAATTTCCAGTTCGAAAAAGCAGATAGCCACACAGTCACATATCGCAACTAAGAAACAGGAAGCAAACCTTAACGATGATTAAGTTTTTAAGAGTTTCAAACATCTGTACAGAATGACTGGTTTCAACAGGCTGCCGTTCGCTTTGCTCTTCCAGCGCCCTGCTTCCATTTACGTACCGTACCTGCTCCTTTTTGGACTCTTCTGTTTCTTTGCTGTATTAGTAGACTGTGCCGAGTCTCGCTTGCCCAATATTTCCAGCCAAAATCTTGCCTTCACCAGCAAGCTTCCCTGGCACCCCCTCGCTTCTTCATGTACTGCCAAGGTGAGCACCCCAAGGGAGGAAGAGGAGGGTGAGTCTCCTGCACACGCACGCAGCCTGACCCTTACCTGTATTGCTGCTGTATTGGCATGACACACATAAGGGAGTCCAAAATCTGCTATAGCTGCAGATTGCACCACCCCGATACAGGCGTGGAACAAGTTCTCTTCTGCCTTCTTGCACCAAATAGGGATTTTGAAAATTGTAAATGCGAAAGTTTTATGTAGCAGGCTTTACCTTCCCTTTCTGAGCTGATAAAGGCTTTCAGGCTGAAAATTTGGCTGACACCTAGAAATATGTTCTGCAGATTCAGCATTTTTGTTAACCTCCATTTTACAGGTCATTATGCAATTGAAGTTCCCCCCACTGTTCTTCAAATTCAAGAAGCAGGGAGCCACTGCTGCAGTGGCAGTCTTTCCACTGACCGCACACCCCTCCCATCACCTGCTTGCACCCCCTCCCCTTCACCTTTTCTCTCTAGTTTTACCCAACCTCTGCTCTTTTTACTGAGCTGAAGTCTTCTTTAAAAAAAAATAAATAAATAAAATTTGTTTTTAAGATCTCCGGTTGTCTTCATCCCTTGTCTGTGGTGAGTGGGGACAAAAATAGTATTGCTACGTATAGAAAGAAAAAAAAAAGTATTCATCAGACCACATGAATTACTGAGCGCAGCATTAGAGCTGAAAAGACGGGCTAGCTAAAACCCCAGCTTCGCCTGCGTTACCGAGCTGTGCACATGCTGTAGGAGCACCGGCTGGAGGGCTGCCAGGAAATACCTACGACACCAAACAAGTCCAAAGCTAGCATCCCACAAGTTTTCCTGCCTACCATTTCTGAGCGGAGGACCAGGCTGGATAAAACAGGCTAAAGGAACCACGCCTGTTTGGTGCTGATTGAGAGAAATTTGAAGGCGAGCCTCCTCCTGAAGAGGAGGCTCTGCACCAGAACATCCCTGCTC